ATTCCCTTGGGATGAAAAGTATAAATGGTATGAGATAAATCTCTGATATTTTGACTGAGTATTAAGTTATCAGATGTTTGCAGTGTTACATGTAGATATTAAGGGAATCTAAAGGAGATAATTATTGTAGTACTCATTACCATACAGGGTAATGAGTACACAATGTACCAAGGAGTTAAACATACTGATGGCAGTTCCCTTATCTCTTCTTCAGCAAAAAAATCAGCATAGATAGAACTCTCTTAAACATATGTAGTAGTAATTCATTCTGAGTGGGATTTTTTATTTTATTTTTTATCTATGATGACTCTTTCCTACCTGTTCTCCCTGTCATTTCCTTTCAGGGCATATACTTTTACCATCTGCTGTGGGAGATCTTAAGCATCAGCCTCCCTATGTTGAACTTTAATTTTCCAAAGCAGGCAATGGAAAAATTATACAACCTCGCTGTTTCCAATTAGTTGTGAACTTCTGTTTATTCCTTCACCACAGGCATTTTTGTTTAGTTAGTAGTAGAAATTGTTAATCATAAAAATGTGCGTCTCCATGAGTAGTAGATCAGGAGAGCCTGCTCTTTGTCCTCTTGAACTCATACAGCCCTCTCTCCTTCATTTTAAGACACTTCTTCCCCCAAGCCTTACCTAATACTCACTGAAGTTAGTGCATGCACATGAGCCCTTAGCAAGGTACCAAAATGCACACATAGGTATGTGGCACGGGGCAGGTGGCAGGAGGTTTGACACCAGGAGATCCCAGCATTAAAAAAAAAACGCACCTAAAAAAAGTGGGGTGGTGCATGTGGTGACAGTGTGAGCTGCCCAAACCAGAGCCTGACTGGCTAGAGCCATACTCTGGCTGCTGTCCAGGCTCCCTGCTGCCAGATCACTGCTGCTGCAGCCCCTGGAGACTTCCAGGATACCAGATAATGCTGCTAGGGCCAGCATAGTGCTGGTCCCAGCTTCCCCTACCCCTTCCAGGACAACATGCCAGGCACCAGAGCATGCATGCATGGGCATTGCCTGGGGACAAGTAGCAGCGGCATATATTGTGCCACTGCTGTTTGTCCCTGGCGAAATGTATGTTCCTGCTCATGGGGATGCACCCATAAATGCTGTGTGTTTCCTCTGGCTGGATTATGAGCATTTCCCAAGTGGGTTTGCAAGAACCTGCAGGTTCCTTGCAGTTTGGGACAAGAGTTGAGGGGCAGGAGAGGAAGTGATTTGGAGGGTGACACCAGGAAGCTATATGGGCTTGGGGAATTTTGCAATAGCTCTGAGCATGCAGTATACCTCATGCCTGTAAGCAGCAGCACTGCAAAAACAATGCACTTAAGAATATAAAGCTCCAAGTTTACTATTGCACAGGGTCTGCATGAAATAGTGTTTACGTGAGATGAGTCCCCTATGAAAGGATGCTATATCCAAGGAAAGAAAATAACTTCTAGTGAACCCTTCTATTCTAAGAAGAGATTCATCTTGCTAATCTTGACAATAAGCCTGTGGCAGGTAGAAAAACCTTAGATAAGCTAAACACACAGTCAAATGTTGAGTAACCTAAAGCTCCTCTCACCAAATATGAATATTTTCAGTAGCATCTGGACATTTCTTGGAGACTGTCTATCTAAGTAATGACCAAGCCAACTGAGACTAAAATCTGACAAGGTCAAAACACAAGATGTTGTGGGAGGGTGACATGGGATACATACAGATGTTCAGGGAGGTTAGTGGGAGGTTATATTGTATTAAAAATGGCCACCTGATCTTAGTTTGCCGAGTGTGAACCTTACACTTAGATCCCTAGTTCAGTTGAGCTAAGTGTGAACTATACAGAAGTTCAGTAAAGTTATATTGGTCTAAAAATGACAAACCCAATCTAAGTTAATTGTATCTCGGAGGTAGTTTAATTTAGACTGGGTCCAATGAGCCTGATCTAACTGAACTTTTTTAGTTCCCAGTGCAACCCCAGGGCCGAGAAAGCCTAGTCAGTAGCCCCAGCCCTGGGGCTGTTTTTTCCCTCACCACCCCCTCCCCTCCCCAAGCACTGAGCTATTTTTAGCCCCTGGTCCCATTCTCACACCAAGATAGATGCTGTGAATCACCCAGCACCCCCACCCAAGCCTGCCAAATGCCCCATCCCACAAAATGCTCCCAGTGCTGGTTTTACCAGCATTTGCTGGTGCTGGGAGCCAAGACAGTAAGTTGGGATGAGGAAAGGCATGGGCGAGATCAGGGAGGGGTTTGTTTGCAGGGCGGGGGGTGTTCCTCTAGGGGTGGGGAGGATCTGGAGGGTTAAAAACAGTCTCTGGTCCTTGTGGTGGGAGAGACTCCCCCATTCCCCAAGCCCTCTCATGGATCCCACTAGCCCTCCTGACCCTACCAGACCCTTCTGGACCCCTCCAATCTCACCCCCACCCCCACAGACTCTGCTTGCTCCCCCGATCCCCTCAACCCCCAACGCCTTTGAGGATACCTGAAGGTAGGGAATGAAAGAGACAGATAATGAAAGAAAGAATGTGGACTTGGGAGATCAACATTCATTTAGGGTAAACCCATGCCATTGTTTCTTTAAAGGTTTCAGTCAGAGGCTTAGCTGGGCAAGGATCTGGTCTTGATTAGCTCCTTTTTTATATGCCTAAGGAATCCCGTTTTTCAAACAGCAGTTGCTGGAAAGAATAAAGCAGGAATTAGACTTTTCCTTTACATTGTTCTGTTTGCATAAGTGGCCAAATATGGCTGACCACTAAGGAAGCCTTCAGCAAAGCTGCAGAATGGAGGTTCTAGTATTGGTTACTATACTGGCGAGCACGAGGAGGTCATTGCTGGGGAATGACACTTGGGGAGAAGAACCAGAAAGAATGAGGGGGCAAATCAAGGATCTTTCTTCACCATTCTTTTATAGCTTTTGTATGCCCAGACTGATTTGCTGTGGGAGAGTTACTAGAGACAGTAGATTTGGCACAGGTCATGAAGGCTCCAAGCCAAAAGAGGTTCTATGCCAGCTAAAACCCTGGCTTTTTTTTTCTGCCCCCCCACCCCCTCTTCTACTTTCTTTGAAGGAAAGGGGGGAGAAAGTTACAATGAAAACCAGAGCACTGGGTTAATGAAGGCCATGCAGGCTACAGTAGACTGGAAAGCTGCACATGAGGCACTTCCTCTACCGTCTGGCACAGGGCTGCTGCTGCTGCTGCTACTACTACTCTAAGTACATAACTTGACAGCAAATAAGCAAGGAAAGAAAACTTTTTAAGAGATACCAATTAGGAAATGCGAGCTATGAATTTGTCAACTCGTTCGCTTCCCTTTTCTTCCATCTCACTCTTCTTTTCCTTAAGACGTTTTCAGTTCTCATCTATCTGTGAAAATATGCACCACCTACCTCATTAGGTTTTCGGAACTGGCTCACTTCATCTTTCCTGGCGTTGTTACTTAGGATGTGTTGGGGCCAAAGCTACTACAGTTATTTTTATGTGGTAATTGCTTAGGCTCCTTTTACTCAGTCATAGAGGAACACATTGAATGGCAACAAAAATGATCCATCTGTATTTAATGGCTTGTTTCAGAGCTCTGTGAAGTTGACATTGTATAATTGCAATTTAGGTGAGCTAAGCTTGTTCAGTTGTTCTTTAAAATGTAGCTGAAGATGATTGGGCCTGGCTCTGTGTGTGTGTTGAGTTCTGGTTGTTTCTTTTAAATGCAGAGAAATCCGCTATGTTAGGCTTGTATCCTCCACTCGTGTAAATAATCATAGCTCAGTTGAAAACAATGGAGCAGTGACAACTAACAGCATCTGAGGCTTTGTCCTTTTGTGTAAAATCTCTGAAGTTAGGGCTGGAGGAAGTTTTTGTGGTTCAGGGCTTTGGAAGAACTTTATCTGATTGTAAGACGTCCTCATCAGCCGTTCAAATCAAGCTGACCCATGTCTTGGCAAAGGAAGCCAAAAGAAAAATCAGTCAACTCCAACCAACATCTTTGATGAATAAAGGCTGAACACAGTCTGAATTGTAGTTAGTTAGTTATGAAGCACCTGTTCAGTAGAAACTGGCATTTATAATTCTGTATAATAAATATGCTTAATATTGTGTTGGAAAACAAGGTACAAAAACTTCCTAACAAAAACACAAGCAATCTAATACTGTGTCCATGTTTTAGTCTTCCATGGGCATGGCTATACCTCTGTTTTAGGTGACTCCAAAAATTGCCCTCAACTACCAGAAGCAACACAATCCTCTCTTTCTCTCCACGTTACCCTTCTGCTCCACACACTTCAAACATACAAAGGAAGCAGAAAAGGGGGCTGACAGATTTCTAAAAGAACTTCCCTGGAGAGCAACAGGACACTGAAACAGAGCCCTTCTAGAAATCGGTTTGCGCACTATTTGCCTCTCATTCTGTGTTTCTCATCACAGACAACAGATACGGTTAGTGGGATGCAGAAAGGCCTATGACAAATGGCCATCTTGCTTAGCTTTGGTGTGTGCACATTACAATTGGTGTGTGCACATTACACTTGCACAACACATTACAATGAGAAGGTGTGGTGGGGAGCTGAGTGGTGGGAAGCTCAGCCTTGAGACCTGATGATCTGTACAGCTTCTGCGGGGGAAACTAGACCAACAAAGCAGCACCTCAGAGAGATATTAATATAGTTGGCTGTCTGGAAGCGGGCTTAAGCAGCAGTGTAAATGGACTTTATGTATGTAGCCATAACTGCTATAGGCCAGACTTGAGCTTGTCCCTCACTTGGGCTCCTTTTTTGCATCTGTAGATTTTAGATATAAACAACTGTAAGGATAATTAAGGACACTTGGTTTCTAAATGTTTGCTTCCATCCAGAAATGCGGTACATGGCCGTCCAGGTGACTACAGGCCAAAAATTGCACCTCCAGTTTTACAGGTGCAAAAAAGGAAAGACATTTTTTCAACGTCTAGGAAGTACAGTACAATCTGAGTATAATTCATTCTTTTAACAATGCAACAACAGTTTAGTTTAATGAACACCTTTGTTTAATGAACTTTTCTCTTGGTCCTGTTGGTGTCTGTTACAGTGTTGGACAGACCTCGGAAGATTAGATTGTTCAGGTTGCATGTCTAGTTTAGTTAGGCACCTCAGTGTTCAGATGCTTATCTCAAACTTGGGCTGGACATCGGAGTAAGTGGTCTTGTGAGAGTTCTGATACTTTCTGTTTCCGATCAAGCTGAAAATACCACAAGGACGGCCTTTCTTTCACAGTACTTTGGCACTTCTGCTTCTTGTCCCAGCTGAGATCAGGAAGTGCAGAGGTGAACCAAATGAAAAATAAAATAAAATAATTGGGGGTGGGGAACAAAGTTAACTCAACTTTTATAACTTAAAAAGTTCATTCAACTTTTGTACCTTTAAAATAAAAAAGAAGCGTAGGGTTTTTTGGACATCAGGCAGAAGTCTGGGTCTTTATTCCTGCAGATAAAACAGTTCACCCCCTCCTAACAATGTACTGTTACTTTAAATGCAACTGCACAACTTACTCCAGTAATAGAAAAAGCAACAACAGCATAAAACAGTCATAATAAGCCAACTAAAATTATACCAACTTAGGATAAAACAATAACGCTCATCCTTCTCATGGAACTGCAACCATGTGTTATATGAATGTGGTGTATTACTGTATATCATCTATTTGTTTTCTTTGTTCTTAACCCCTTTGTTCCAAGGGTCAGGATATCCTGATGCTAAGCATTTGTGCAAAATAACATTACAACAACAATGGTAGAATACTTAGGAAGCAGTTCACTTTTTTTCAAGCCAGAGCCACCTGAAATTATTCAACAAATTATATTCAAGAGATTATATTCAACAAATATGTCAACATTATGGCATGGCAATCTACATTTAAAATAGCAATATTTGTTGAAGAATGTTACTGTCCCCATTTTGAGGTAGGAACAGTAACATAATCATGGCAGAAGATGCTAGAAGAGTGGAAATATCATGCTGCTCCTGCTGACATTGGCATAAGGAGGAAAAACTTGTGCATTCTGTTTTTTTATACTTAAGGATGTTAACTTTCAGTCCATTCCCTTGGAGCTTCTTCTATCTATGAAGGAAGATCCTGTTTGTTTGCCAGTTTATTTTTCCATCTGGAGGAGAGACAAAACACTGAACTTAACTTGGAGGAAAACAGATGTATTAACTATGAATATTACAAAAAAAAGTTGCATATGTATTAAAATTCCTATTAAAAGAACTTTCTGTGATTTGAAGATAAAGAGATAGGTGGTACAATCAGCAACCTTCCATCAGTTCTCTCCTGTATCCTGAACAAAACAATGGCTGAATGACAAAGCTGAAAAGGATAGAGATTAACAGGGTCAGATTGTATAAAAGCAGATCACAATTCCACATGAAATAAAACATCCTGCTGCTTGGGGCTATGAAGAAAAAGAGAAGGGATTGCTGTAACATCTGGCTAAACCTATAAACGTCCTGAAGTCTTCCAGTGCCCCCATTTGCATCAAAAGTGTTACAGAATAGATACAGTATGCCACCTTGCTTCTGCCTGTGTAAGAATTGTTCAAAACTATCACTAGAAGTGCTTATCTTGACTTAAAAAGTTGATGTTAAAGGTTAGTCTTCTCTGCACAATCTGTGAGTGATCCCTATTAACAACTAATGTCCTCAAATGAACTTATTCCTTCATTCAGGTGGAGCCCTGCAGCTAGCAGCCAAAATAATAAGACCACAGTAGGGGATCTCCCCACCCCTGGAAAACTGGAATTTCAACAACTTATTTTTCCCTTGCCAATTAAGCCCTGGCATCCTATCTTTTTTTTTTTCCCTTAATACTTTTTATGATTATTTTTCTTCAAAAAATGGAACTTAGTATGAGAGCTGTTTGTCAAGATTACACAACAGCACCAGACTTGTGAATGCAGATCTGACTGCTTTTCCTGATTCACTTCTTTCACAGTTAGCTTTGGAATGTGAATCAATGTTATTTCCCTTCCAGCTGAAGGGCAGCTGAGGTTACAAAAGGATTTGACTAATAGGCCAAAAAACCCTTTAGGTTTTCTGAGAACCAAATGACAGAGAGGAAGACGAATCAGGGTGGGCGGAGGGGGGTGGGGGGAAGCCTATTTAATTACATTACTGTGTAGATCAATTCAAACAGCTTTCTTAATATCTTCATCATAATGCAGTCATTAGTGGAAGGGAGAGATGGCCTTCTGCCAGCCTAGTCACAGAGAGGCAGCTGTGAACTGGTTCTGCCCAAGCTTCTCTCTGTTTACGGAGGGCTGCTCGAGACTGAAGGGCATGATTTGGTAAAGTGTTTCTCTTTAATAAGCCAGCAGCTGTTCACCTGATAGCACCTAATAACAAACCTGCAGATGAAAATGTTCCTTCACGGTGACTTCCAGCACCTGGCAGTTGGTTGATGTTCCCTGACAACCTACAAAAAGAGAAGAGACTGCGAAGAGAAAGAGAGAGGAAAAGAAAATACTTCACGGGCTTCTCCTACTGCTTCTTTTTCTTTCCTGCTGTTCTGGCGGTAGCCTGGGATTAATTAAGTGTTGTGAACTCCAAGTCTGAGAGAAAGGGGGATGCAGAGTTACACACGTCTCTGAGGACCAAGAGCTCCAGTAACTGTTTCAGATCACTTGCCAGTGGGAAACCTTGGCAATCACATCTCTCCATGGTATTTGTCCACAAGTAGTCGGGGCAGTGAAGCTACTATGGGGTTGAAGAAGCCGTTTCCTTAGCTGTGGGTGCTAATTCTTGTTTTAATTTTCCTTGATTGAAGACAGTCCCCAGTCCCATAACAGCAACAGTTTTTTCACGAGGGCACAGAACAGGATGCCTGTGCTAGATAGATTTTTTAACGCAACAGAGCTGGGCAGGCAGTGGAGGACCGGGGAAGAATTGATGCCCTTTCCCATGGGCAGTTTGCCCAGCTATCAGCAGGATACCCTAGCCTGGGAATTGCCTGAGATGATTAGGATGGTAAAGCTTGTTTGGAAATCTACGAGTGAGCTGCGAGGAACAAAGCAAAAAGGTATTTTGGAGAATGAAGATGCCCTGGGAAGCTTATCAGGTACATTTAATATAATCTGTGAAAGGTGTTGTTTTAGCTAATCTTGCTACCGGCTGGTCTCAAGCAGCTAAACTGTGTAGGGAGTGAAGCAGGGATTGAGAGAGAAATATGAAAATCTGGGACATAAGGCGATGACTGATGTATTAATATATTGAAAGACCGTATAGTAGCCTGACCAGACTCTACCTGACCACTCACTGGGGGGAGAGTCCTTGTTTTATGATAGGCAAATATAACAACAGGGCTATTTTCACCAGCATTCTTCACAGTAAACAACAAGCAAGTAGGTTTTATGCCTAGTTAATAAATCAACATGACAATTTTGTGAAGCGACTATAAAAAATATGTTTGTGGTATCTTTTTAAAAACTGGTGCCCTTATGGCGGGGATGGGGGAGGAGTGGGGAAGTGTTACTACCAGCAGTAACTCGGACAAATTGTCTTAAAATAATGTTCATGCAAGTCTACTCTTTCAAATTACTGCAGCATTTCTTTATAAGTGGAGTCACAAATTCAGATAAAACCTATAGGGTCTTGTGGATGGTCTTATGGATGTGGCATTGAACTGTTTCAGGAGAGTTGGCTCTGGTGCCCAGCTCTGCCACTGACTTTCTGGGTGATCTTGAGAAGAAAATAATTTTGGGGCCAGATTTTTAAAAGCATTTAGGCACCTAAGCAGACAGACAGGTGCTTACCAGGATTCTCAAAAACCCCTCAGTGGCTCATTTCAATTCAGCAAAGTTTTTAAACAGCTGCGTAACTTTCAAGAACACAGTTAGACTGATTGATTTAAACACCATGAAATCCAGTGAAAAGATTTTAATAGGCTTCAAGTGAACTCCTATGTGCCACTTTCCTATCTGTAAAATGGGCCTTTTTTCCATACATTTGTTAGTCTGGTCTGTTTAGACTGTAAGTTTTTCATGATTAAGAGGTGTGAACTTGGCACTGAGCAGGAAGACATGCTGATTATATCCAAGGCTTCATATATATGTGCTATGTATAATATACATCATAGGCAGTGCATGTGGGAAGGGGGGGCCCAGGGGGCATGTCTGCCCCCCCAGATTTCTGTGCTGATATCAGAGCATGGGGCTGTAGCCTGGCCAGAGCCAACAGTGAACAGCAACGGGGGTAGGGGCAGGGGTGGCAGCATAATGTTGTGCCCTCCACTGTCAACATCTTATGAGTCATCTATGATGTACGTAAAGAAACGAGACTGGAAGAGATCTCCTGGTTCATCAAGTCTAACTGCCTGCTGCCATGGGTAACCACATGTTCTAATCCCTTTAAAAATTTGATCAAGTTCCATCTTAAGAATAGTCATAGTTTTGTTCCCAGTGCTTTTATTGGAAGGCTGTTCCAAAATCTTACTGCTGTGATGATTGGAGACCACCTAATTTCCAAACCAAACTGATTCATGGCCAGCTCATACATTTGTTCGTGTGCCCACATTTCCCTTGGCTAAACTAGTTCTTTTCTCTTCCTACTGTTTACTCCTCCCTCAACAATATAGTTACAGAGCGCAGTCATATTCCCTGCTTAGCCTTCATACTGCTAGGCTAAACAAGCCAAGCTCTTCTAATCTTTAAGGTCTCCTAAGATGGGGTCTCCAGTCCCCTGGTCATCTTGGTAGCCCTTCTCTGCCCTTCAGATTTATCTTCTTGATCACTGTACTCTATATCCTAGATGAAGTCTCACCAGTCCCTTTATACAATTGCACCAATAGTTGTCTTTCTTTATTGGAAATAGGCATCTTGATTACATCTTAAGATCATATTTGCCTGCTTCATGACCACATCATGAAGAGTAGTAGCTCATAGTGATAAACTTATACACCCATCTTTTCTCCTTTTTATTTATTTTCAGTTGATTAGCTCCCTGCTTATAGGAGAAACTTTTTATTAGTTTCAAAATGCATGACCTTGAAGTAGAGTTTCACCCATTTCTATTACTTCTGTCCTCATGGTCCCTAGTTCTTTCTGTGTGAAATTTCAATCCTCCTATGTATTTATGATGCCTCCCAACTTTGTATCTTCAGAAACTCCATTAGTACACTTCTACCTCTTGTGCTGAGATTATTAATGAATATATTAATATCAGTCCTGATATGAACCTTGAGAACCTCGCTAATACCCCCAGCCCAAAACATCCCCTTTCAACATCACCTATTGCCATATCCCTGTAAGCCTATTCCTTATCTAACTATAATTCCTATACTAATTCTCTTCTTCTCCAAATCATTTATCAATATACTTTATCATAACAAATGCTTTCCTAAAATCCAGAGATATTAATCTGTTGCATGTTATCTCTTTAAAAAAAAAAAAAAAATGTTGGTTTAGTCTGGCAGAGTCTCTTGGTAAACCCATGTTGCATTTTAGACCATCTTTTCATTTACTCATAGACCTTTAACTATTCCTTCCTTCAAAATTTGTCCTAAAGCCTGGCATTCAATTGAGTTCAGACTTATAGGCAGGTGTTATCCAGGTTATGTTTCCTCTTCCTCAAATTTATGCCATATGTTTGTTGTTCTCCTTTCACCTGAGAGTACCACTCCTGATTTGATTTATTGAAAATATGGTTTATCCTTCTTAAATTTTCACATGCCATTTCTTTCAGAATTCTGGATTGGAGATTTACCTAGTCTTCCTGATGTAGGTATATTAAGTTCTTAGAGTTTTGCTTATAACTCGATTGTAGCAATATCCATATCTACTAGAATAGGCAGATCCAGGATTTTAGAAAGGGTGTTGCGAGAGCAGTGACCAGTGCTTCAGGGCTGGCTATGCTCCTCTGCTCCCAGCCCTATCTCACACCACCTCTACCAGGGTGGACAGACCACCCCATGGGAGCAGTAGCCAGGGGCTTTTAGTCCCTGAAATCACATAAGAATCTTCCCATCCCCCTTGATACGTCTTCCCTTCACCTCCTGTACTCAGTGGTGTTTCCCCTTCTAACCTAACCCACTTCCTCCTTGTCCTCTCTATTTATGCCTCTGGGCACAGGAATGGGAGACCTGTCTGCCACTGCTGCTGTCCTTGCCTCTTCTGTGCCTCTCCAGCCAAGGCTGCAGGGAACAACTGAGCTTAGCTGGATACAACAGTGGCTGCTGTACTTCCCTGCATCTGCTCCTGGGTTTTCATGGAGCACCTGGTGGACAGAGCAAGAAAGAGGTACCTACCCACCGTTGCCACTACCACTGTCTTCAGCTGACCCTGATTTCCCCACGCAGCCTGATTGGCATGGGGCAGCAACAGCTCTGGAGCTACCCCACTCCTTGGTCAGACAGACAGTGGCAGCAGCAGGCAAGGGAGGAGGAAAATGAGAAGAAGAGGTATCACTGAGCATGAAGAAAAGAGGAGGTGCCCAAGGGGTACAGGGGCATTGTTATCTGTTTCAGGAGTGCTGCTCCTGCAGTGTGGCCCAAAAGCAGTTAGTGGAGAGGGGTGCAACTCTGCTACCAAACCCCCTCTGGATCCAACCCAGTCTACTAGCCATCTTGCCTTTGCCCCAGTATTTACAATCTTCCTATTTATTGAAAGCATACAATAGTCATAAACACTCGCACTTTGGAGTAACTCATTTGGTTTCTCATATGCACAGGAGTAATTATGCTACAAGTATTATGGAATCCTTTGTGGAGTATATTGTATGACAGATCGTTTTAGCAGTACAGGTATATATGAAAGAGAGTTTCGGTGCTTGTGTGTATGTAGGAGTCAAAGCTATGCTTATTGGCATTCAACTGACTGGGAATAAAACTGAACTAGGCCAGGGTTGGCAAGCATCTAGCCTTACAGGCTGGATGAGCATCTCTGGGCTGCTCTGTGGACTAGAACCAATTATGCCAAAGCAAGTGGGCAGGGCTGGGCCAGTAGGGCACGTGGACTGGATCTAGTGCCACGCTGCAGGTGGCACATGGACTGGACCCAGTGCTGCAACTGCTGCCGATGGCCCAGGGAGCCACCATGGGAACGCACTTCATGCAGTATCCCACAGGACCAGGCCCGAGTACTCGCTCCAGGGCTCGTCAGAATCGGTCCCCAAGCTGTCAATACATGCCGGAGTCAGCACACAGGGCACCCTGTGCTGGCTCCCTGTACTGTAGATGCACCAGTGGCTCTGGGTCCAGCCTGTGCACTGCAAGCAGCACAAGTCCTGGAGTTGGGCGTGTGCAAAGTGCTTATGGTGCGGGGGCTGGACCCAGTGCTGTGGGTGCTGCTCACAACATGGGGTGCATACTGCACGTAGCACCCTGCCTTGTGTGCTGGCTTGAATGCAGCCTGAGCCAGTGCACAGGGTTGGTCCAGGGCATGTGCCAGGTGGAGCTTGCAACCCAGGCCAAGTACCTGTGCTGCAAGCAGCACCTTCAACACCAGGTCCAGCCTGTACAGCAGACCACCTCTGCAT